ACTAATGGTTTATTCAACAGCGAATGCTGGAACATAGTAACGAGTTACAAACTGAAGAAATACATATCGAGAAGCGTGTGTTTCATTCTTATATACCCTTAAATCGAACGTCATAGGAAACATAGCCCACAAAAACAGAGTGAAAAAAGGCGGGAAAGCTTGAAGGACAAACTTACGATCAGTGATTGGCCATGTCTATGAAAATACTATGTCGTGATTGGCTCTATAAATACCATGGTAACAAGACTAATTAAACACACGTAATTAACAAGAGGATTTACTTTAAGAATCCGGCTGGCTAATATAAAAGGCTGATATATAAACTATTAATATCACAGCTGGTACTACATGAAACGGATGTGGAGTCGCTTGTCCTTGAATTTCATATAACCCGGAGTAACTTTCTCCGACAATTTGTTCATTTTGTAATGATATCTTCAATTCTCTAATTTTGGTGAATATTTTTGTCATTTTTAGTAAAAAGTGATATTTTCGACCTCTTGTTGAAAACCGCAAGTCCAATTGCTTTGATATTACATATATAGGTACTGCATGTGGACCTCTCTCAGATTTGTTCATTTTGTAATGATATCTTTAATTCTCTAATTTTGGTGAATATTTTTGTAATTTTTGGTAAAAAGTGATATTTTCGACTTCTTGTTGAAAACCGCAAGTCCAATTGCTTTGATATTACATATATAGGTACTACATGTGGACCTCTCTCAGATTTGTTCATTTTGTAATGATATCTTTAATTCTCTAATTTCGGTGAATATTTTTGTAATTTTTGGTAAAAAGTGATATTTTCGACTTCTTGTTGAAAACCGCAAGTCCAATTGCTTTGATATTACATATATAGGTACTACATGTGGACCTCTCTCAGATTTGTTCATTTCATAATGATATCTTTAATTTTCTAATTTTGATGAATATTTTTGTAATTTTTGGTAAAAAGTGATATTTTCGACTTCTTGTTGAAAACCGCAAGTCAAATTGCTTTGATATATTATACATATAGGTACTACATGTGATTTGTTCATTTTCTAATATCTTCTGTTCTTTAATTGCCATGTGCATTGCTAACAGCGGAGCTATCTCAGCCGACAGGCTGCTTGTTTTTTATTACATTTCAAAATTTTTATATTTTTTTGTTGGTATCCTGAAACCATTATAAGTAAAGTATGATTAACATGACAAATAATCTTTAATTTAACTCAAACCTCCTTAAAATTGAGTTTTATGTGATACATTGTGATGAATGTAAATTTATCATTACTCCTTTTATTACATGTACAATGTGTTTTTAATTAATAAAGTGTTTTTATTGTCTTTGTTCTTACCTACCTAGCATGGACGTCTCAAAGTGAAAACAACAGCTGAACAGCAAGAAGCCAAAAGAAAAGAAAGAGAGAAGAAATTACAAATATACAATGCAGCGACTAAGAAGGCATTCCAAAAGGTACAACCTGTATTGTTGTATGTGATTTAATAATGCCAAAACATGTTTAAAGTTTTTGCTGCTAGAATGCTTACCATACTCTGTGTCTGTTGGAAGCCACACAGTTGATGAGAAATCCAATCCAATTTACCCAATAGTGGTAATTTCAATCACAATTTGGGCTGTCAACAGTATCACATTTACGCCCCACCCCTCATTTATTGCACACATTTGTCTTTGCACAACACACTGTGTATGATTCAAAAGTGAATATAATGACAAATTGCAAAAAAAATCATACTGTAATTTTGTAAGTGTACATCATCTTTGGGGGAGGGGGGGGGTCTCGAGAAGCTAAATAAAATGAATGTTATTTAAGACAGCTGCTGTCAGTAACAGTAGCTTATTGCAAAATTATGGAGGTCAAAGTCGTTTATTCTTAACAACTTCATGCAAAGCTCTCTCAAACTATGTTCTCCAGCAGGGACTTTCTAAAATATCACATTCTCAGATTACTTCTTAAATGTTGGTGTTATTGATTAATAATTTCAGCGAGATAATAAAGAGTTTGATGAGGAAGCGTTGGAGATAACAGGCCAAATGTTGTCAGCAAACTCAGACTTCACAACAATTTGGAATTACCGAAAGGAAGTTTTCTTGGATTATAAAAAGAAAAAGTGAGTATTTTGCTTCTCTATGAGGTGGTGTATCCATCATAAGAGTTGATTTTCGTAATTGTTGAGGAGATGGAGCATCATCTGACTGGCATTGTATACAATTATGACATTATATTGGTCGTTACTGTGATTGCCTTGCATTAATTTACTCAGGTGATATGTTTTTCCTTGGATTTCTCTTGCTGTTACAGTGGAATTCATCATGCATGTAATTGAAATGTACTAGTATCACTGGAATTAGTTTAAAGGACAGTGGTCAACGCGCCATATACTGTTCAATATGGGACTCATAGCAACGTACACATTGCATGTATAATACATTGTTTGTTTACACGAAATTAGAACAGGCACTGTGCGACGACCACCGCCCTTTAGTGTACATGCAGTATGTTTATTTCAGAAGTACTGCACCTGGCACCAATTTTGAAAACCAAATCTCAAAGTTCAGTTTCAGGCTTTCTCGGATCAGTACTCCAGATTGTAAGATTTACTTTTTAGAAACTCCACTTTGCTAGCCTATTTTCAAAAAAAGATAGCCATAAGTCAAAGTAGAACTAGACTCTTCCACATTTCAGTGGATCCCCTATTGTTATCATTTGGACTTTACTGACCACAGATTAATGTAAAGGAACGCCAAATGTATTTAGTATTTTATTATTGGCACAATTATATTCTGATTTGTATTTCAGTCACATCGCGAAAGTTGTGCTTTAATGATCGATCATGTCTTTGCACTTCTTAGCATTTATTGTACAATATGAACGCCGGCTACGATGCTATTTCAAATAAATCTATTAACTTATTCCAGTGATTTCAGTACGTTTCATACAATATATGCACAGTCAGCTGGTTTTATTTATCAATATTTACTATATGGGGTCTGCCATCTTGGCTCTAATCTGAAAGGAAAGACACAAGTTAAGAAATATGATTTTCAGACTCTTATGAATCAGGAAAAAAACATGTAACTGCAACAAAATTTTACTAAATTCGTTGTTTTTGTGTCGGGAAATTTCTTGCATACAAAAAACTGTACATGTATAAACACTTCATCACAGGAGAAACCTGGAACACCTTTTTGGGGTGAAACTGAAATTATCAGTCAACAGTATGACTATCCCTGATTGGTTCTTTACATTGAACAATAATTACTGTATCAGGACACTCAGAGAAAATAGTATATTTACTATGTGTACATTTCACAGAACCCCCGATGAGCTGGTAAAGATATTCAAGTCTGAGTTGGTGTTTCTTGAAAGCTGTTTGCGATATAATCCAAAGTCTTACGGAGTTTGGCACCACAGATGTTTTGTGATGGATAACATGCCAAATCCTGACTGGAAAAATGAACTTAAACTTTGTAATAAGTTTTTGGAATATGATGAAAGAAACTGTAAGTGGATGTTAGCAAAAATATTCAGATTAGCTTATACATATTTCATTACCATGACCTTTGATATATGCGATGACATTCCCATACTGTATGAGTTACGGTCACCATGTTCCATTCCTTCTTGTTTGGACCAATAGAATCACAAAACACCATGGTTACCATGATAACAAGAAACAGGATAATAGGCAAGATAATTGCTCTATTCAAATAAGGCAAAAACATGAATGTATTTGCCCTATTAACGCATGTACTTGGTTTAATGTCGGGGTGTGTCTATGATCAAAATCCAGTATACATGCAACTGTTTTTCTATTAGAGATGCACTTCTAATAGAGAGAATATGGTAATACCTGCTCTATGAATTATATGCATGAGAACTAGAAAAAACGACCTGGGCAAACACCAACTCATTCTGTTACTAACTTATTGCAGTAGTAGTCTAGAAATGTATATTTTTTTTTATTTTTGTGATGATCTCGCATATTATGTAACTTCAAATAGGAAGTTCATTGCATATAACACATTTTTGTTATTGGTCACAATTTTAAAAGTCAAGAAATTATGAAAAGCTGTGAAATAATTAAAATAATATGCAAAATGTTTTATGATAGTAATGATTTTTATTGTGTATCTTTCCATGCAGTTCATTGCTGGGACTATCGTAGATTTGTTGTCATGAGATCTAAAGTTCCAGCAGAAGAAGAGATAGCATTCACCACTGAGAAGATCAGTAGCAACTTCTCAAATTTTTCATCCTGGCATTATCGCAGTAAATTATTACCAGTGGTTCATCCGGACCCTGAAAAAAAAGAACGAGTACGAGAAGATATTCTACATAAGGGTAAGATGAGCATGTTTATAATGCTAGCATCAATGTAAACCAGCTTCATTTTGCAAGAGACAGATTTTCAGTGAAAATCATCAAATTTTGTTCCTTGAAAATGTCTCTGGAATTTCACAAAATTTTGTCTTCGTGTACATCATCCTATTATCCTAACAATTCCTAGGAGTGTAAATTAAAAAATTTACAGTATGTAAAAAACGATGCATCCACATTCACATGGCAACAATCCATCTTGAAATTTCTTCTTATTGACAAGAAATCAAACTATAAATCTTCTGTTTTAAACTACCTCTATTGGCATCTTTAGTAATACAACCATGTAACCACTGACTGAAATTTACCACTCTATTTAAACAATAATAATAGCAGCGCTATATAGGATAAGGAGAAGTGTCCATGACAAGATGAAGTGAAGCAAAACACATTACCGGTATCATGTCTAGACCTTTCCCAAAACCAATGATGCTGTGGCAGATTCACTATTATTGTTATATATCACTACCTACAGAATTAAAATGATTTAATTTTCAATTCGGAGGCTTTTTACCTTGCCCGTACCATCAAAGATGGAAGGGAAAGGTATATTAAGGGAAAAATTTTGTCCGGCGTTGTCGTTGTTGTTGTCGTCGTGGTTGTCGTTAATAATTGTTATTGTGTGCATAATAACTTTACTAATTCTATTCCAAACTTTATCAAACTTGGTCACCTTATTCATCAGTATAAATCTCAGTGAAAATATGCATTGTTGTATGTGTTCAATGAAGCAAATGATTTATCTTGTAATAATATCCTTGGTAATGTATCTCAGAATCCCATACTGGGTTTCAAAACCAACTCATGGAGAGATTGCACAGTCTGATACACATTTGCAAACCTACCAATAAAATCTTTACAGAAAACAAGATGTCAGAAAATCAATATAAGCACTCCTATGAACTCGGTGCCTAACTTTGATCAAGATCTGAAGCTAATAGAAAATCTGTTTAGTTCAAAGTTATCAAATCAAAAACAATACATAAAAAATACATTAAAAGCAAAACATTTCATCCACATTTTAAAAAGAAAATTATTCTATAATTTATGTATTCTGTATTTGACAAACAGTTCATTCGACAAATGAAAACTCACAGGAATATGTTTCAGCTATTAGAACAGAATGATAGAGTTTTTATAATACTAGTTTAAAAACGCACTTCAAAGATTGCAGTGTTTGAAGATGTAGATTCTCAGGAGGCAACAGTACTGTTGACTTCTCCCTCTACTGGACACCAACTAACTATTTAAGTTGATTTGCATACAAAGCAGAGCTTGCAACAT